GGGCATCTAGGTTGTTTCCAGGTTCTGGCTATTACAAACAATGCTGCTATGAACATAGTAGAGCATATATTTTTGTTGCATGATAAGGCCTCTCTTGGGTATATTCCCAAGAGTGGTATTGCTGGGTCCATGGGTAGGTTGATCCCAAATTTTCTGAGAAACCGCCACACTGCTTTCCAGAGTGGTTGTACAAGTTTGCATTCCCACCAGCAATGGATAAGTGTACCCCTTTCTCCACAACCTCTCCAGCATAGGCTATCATTGGTGTTTTTGATTTTAGCCATTCTGACAGGTGTAAGATGGTATCTTAAAGTTGTCTTGATTTGCATTTCCCTGATCGCTAAGGAAGTTGAGCATGACCTTAGGTGTCTTTTGGCCATTTGAACTTCTTCTGTTGAGAGATCTCTGTTCAGCTCAGTGCCCCATTTTATAATTGGGTTGATTAGCCTTTTACAGTCTAGTTTCTTGAATTCTTTATATATTTTGGAGATCAGACCTTTGTCAGTTGTGGGGTTGGTGAAGATTCTCTCCCAGTCAGTGGGTTGCCTTTCTGTCTTAGCGACAGTGTCCTTTGCTTTACAGAAGCTTCTCAGTCTCATGAGATCCCATTTATTCAATGCGGCCCTTACTGTCTGTGCTGCTGAGGTTATACGTAGGAAGTGGTCTCCTGTGCCCACTTGTTGTAGAGTACTTGTTGTTTTCTTAATGATATTCTGACTGGGATGGGATCCCACCTCAGTGCAACCTTGACTTACAGTTTCCTGAGGTCTAGGCAGGCTGAGCCTTTATTCATATGATCTTCAGTCATTTGTGGGTCATCTTTTGAGAACTGTCCAGTCATTTCATCAGCACATTAACCAACTGGATCCTTTGTGGGAATATTTCGATGTTTAAAAATTTAAGTACTCTAGATATTAATCCCCTATCAGATTTACAGTTGATAATTTTCCTTTCCATTCTATAGGCTGTCTCTTCACTCAGTTGTTTTCTTTGTTGTATAGAGAGCTCTGCTTTCATACCTGGATGCTGGATTTAGTTCCTGTTCCTCGTTGTGATCTGTGAGTCCCCCCTTAAATAAAAAACCCTTATTATACCCTATTCGGAGCTAGTGTGAGATTACTTTACTCTCATTCCTCTTCATCTGGTGCATTCCCCTCACCTGGCACCCAATGTGGTCTCAAGGGTCTCACAAAAAAAAAAAAAAAAGGAAATTGGATGGGGATTAATCTAAATAGGTAGATTAGTATGAGTTTACTAACGCTAATAGTAATAGTGAATAATAGAATAAATATGTGTGAGCTATTCTTTATAGACAATTTACAGTGGTATAGATTCTTGTATATTGATACAAATTCAAATTATATTTGTTATATTGAAGATGCTCCTATTTTTGTTTACAATATTTGTACACCTATGCAGTTATTTTGTCATATTGTATGCATTCATGTTTCCACCTCTTTTTAAGAAATTTTGTATATTAATACAATTTTAGAATATATTTATCATATTGCATTGCCAAGTTCTCTGGCAGAAAGAGCGGGGGCAGAGCCGGATGCACCAGACTTTCCCTGTGGCTGAGCAGGATGGTGAGCATCAAACAACCCAGCCCTCCCACCTGCCCATGGGGGAGAAACACACCCACTAAGTTGGGAGTCTGTCAAAGCAGGATCTCGTTAAATGGCATCAGGTAGGAACTTATATAGGGTTGTAATGGGGGTGGAGAAGCTTGGGATGGGTTGAGGTTGCAGAGTGAGGAATAAGGGCCAATAATATTCTGCCACGCTAGTGGTGGCTGGGAAGGGGCAGATCTAGGTCAGGTAGCCAGAGACAGGTCTCCAAACTTGAGCCAGGCTCAGGAAGTTACACTAGGCCTCACCAAACTCAAGTTAGGCTCAGGAAGTTAGTTACACTGGGCCTCATGTCCAGGCCTTATGAGGCCCAACATTGCATTATACATTTCTACTGCTGATCAAGATACTTACACATTGTTTACATTCTGAGGCCATTGTCCTCATTTGCTGCACAGTTGTTTAAAGATTGCTTAATATTCTAATATAAAATCTTAGTCTTTGAGCTATATAGGTATTAAGTATTATAGGTCAATAGTCATCCATGTTTGTCATACTTATAGTTAGACTAATCAAGTTATTTAGATATATAGAGATTGTATTCTGCATAGGGAGGTAGTCTTCAACCACTTCAAAGAACTGTAGAATATGGCATTTAAATAACTTAGAGTTCTGTTTGACATGAGACACGATTGCTTTTGACAGCACCGAAAGAATGTTGAGCACTGAAGACACTCCACTTGAAGTTTGTTTTCTTCTTGACAAAACTGGCCTTTGGGCAAGGAACTGCCCATGTCTTGACCACTGACAAAATGCATGGTTTCCACACAGGACAAGAAGGATACAAGAAAAAGACTGCCAAACCTTGCCAAAACAGGGTAAAACAGTTTTAAAAATTCCTGCCTCTAAAAATGGTCTGTCGCCAGCGATGGTGGCGCATGCCTTTAATCCCAGCAAGCGGGAGGCAGAGGCAGGCGGATCTCTGTGAGTTCGAGACCAGCCTGGTCTACAGAGATAGTTCCAGGACAGGCTCCAAAGCCACAGAGAAACCCTGTCTCGAAAAACCAAAAATAAAAATAAATAAAAATAAAAATGGTCTGTCAGTTACTCTAGACCTTAGCCAAAGTTAGTTGTTCCAATGGTACAATTGAGACTTTGGGTGATTGCCCAGGTAGTCAGTTGTCTCTCTGTCATCTACTTCATATTTTGATTGTACTTTCTGCCTACTCAAGTAATATTATCTCCCTTCTCAGGTCTTCAATGGGGTTGAAGACTAGATAGTTGTAGTTACTTCCCTCTTATGATTTAGCCAAGCCATTTCTAATAAGACTTTGATGCCTTAGGATAAAATAATTATTAAAATATTTAGCATATGTTTCTTGCTTAATAGTTTATGCTGATTGTAATTCTAATTTTTATATTTGCTATCTGTTCTTCAAGTATATAGTTTTGTATTGGGTTTGGAACCCTCTTATTTAGACAAAAGGGGGAGGTGATGGGGAAGCCTCCTTCAGCCAATGGCTTTTGAGAGGCTGGACAAGGTTGGGCTTGGCTTTGAGTACCAAAAGGTGCATGCCCACTGTTCTCACACTCTCTCTTTCTGTCTAGGAGACACAATCTCACAGCAGACTTCTGATCTTCTGGCTCTTAACAATCTTCCACTCTCTCTTCCTTGCTATTCCCTGAGCCTTGGGTTCAGGAGTTGTGCTGTAGATGTATCTGCTGGGGTTGGGAACCAAACAAGTTAATCTTTGCACTATGCAAAGAGAAGCTTCTTGGATGTGGGGTGAGAGCTATACTTATCTGAGAGTATGCTCCAGAATGCAGTAGGGGTTATGCTAGTCTATGTGGTGGTAGTATGCTCTCTTCTGCGACCCACAACTTCACTAACCCCAGGTTTCTAGGCTCTTCTTAACAAAAGGGAAAGGAAATTACAATGGGTATCAAGGAACAATTAGCAGTATCTGGCCCACACCAAATTAGGCAAAAAAGTTCTTCTGAGGTTGCTCCTTCATCATGTCAGCAGCGTCTGACACAAAAATGTACTTTTTTTTTTTTTTTTTACAAAAGACAGTTTCATAATACAGTCTTTGCTGGTCTAGAACTGGGAGATCCATCCGTCTACCTCCAAGTGCTGGGATTAAAGGCATGTAACACCGTATTTGGCTACAAAATGTATTTAAGATGGCTAAATCTTTGGTGAGGACAATAGATGCAATTCCAGATGTTTCTAAACAGGATGGATCTTCTTCAGCAGTTAGATAGCCAGACTATTAGGCTGTAGTATTAGAAAAATCTCAATCTTCATTTTTATAAAATGATATAAAAAATAGGATGTCAACAGACCTCACTGAGTTGAGAACACCATAAGAACACATAGGAGTGTCAAGCAGTATACAGAGGATGTTCAAAAATGTCATTTGCAGAAATGCTGGAATCTACTTTCTGCTCAGTAACTAACTTCTGTTCAACTTGTGCCACAGCCCTTATATGGTCTGCATTTATGTCTAGGCTACCACAAGTAGAATGTGCTTGGACCCAGCATTTGGTTATCAGAAGACCTCTGATATGCCAGGTGGTGTTTTCTTTTGGGCATGTAGTAAGTACAGCGTCAGACTCAACTGCTCAGGTTTACTGTTTAAGGCTTTCTGGCATTTACTAATTTCCCGCTCATCCTCAATTATCTACCTCTACTGATCCTGGTTTGTTTTTTCTTCTAGTCTCCGTTGGTCTCCTGGGATCTAATATCGTTCTCCTTTATGTCCTTCATTGAATAGTGTCATTTTGTTTAGTACCTGCAAACCTCTCGGAAGTCAAGAAAAAGGAGTCTTGTTGACCTTTGTAAACATGATTTTATTTCAGTCATATTTTTCCAATTTACATATTTATATATATGTGTGAGAGACACACCCACAGAGGTCAGAGTACAACTTTCAGGACTTAGTTCTTTCTTTCTACCATGTGGGTCTCCAGGATCAAAATCAGGTTGTGTGGCTTGGTAGCAAGTGCCTTTACCTGCTGGGCCATCTTGTCAACACATTATCAATCTCTTTTTTTTTTTTTTATAAAAAAATATATATATATTTTTAAAAAGTGTGTGTTGGGGGGGAGTTTGCATGTACGCGAGCACAGGTGCCTATGGAAGCCGGAGGTGTAGGATCTCCTGGAGCTGGGAGTACAGGCAGTTTTGAGCTGCTTATGTAAGAGCTGGGAATCACACGTGGTCCTCTAAAAGGGCACTATGTACTCTTAATTACTAAGTCATTTCTCCAGCCCCATCAATAACATTCTTAAAAGTAATCTCAAAGACTTTGTACAATGAGATAGAATAAAAACTTAGGAAGAAAATGAAGTAATTAGACCTGTTTTAGACAGCAACAATTAAATGGTTTGATGAAATAATCATGATACAAAATCATTTACAAAACATCTTAGAAATCCACTAAAGACACAGTCTGAGACAATCTGAAAATCAAATCATGAAAATGAATGGTAAATTAAAAAAAATTATACTCTGAATCTTGTGAGGGTGGAATGCATGTGTGAGAGGTGAAAACACCTCCCTACAAAAGAAGCCTATCAGAAGCACTTGAATCAGGTGACCAGAGTGATGTAAGTGACACTGAAATTACATTACCACCCAAGACAGTGCAGTTTATTACTCTATCTTCAAAAAGGTGCAAACTAAGTGAACCCAATCACTGACCTATGAACTCCAAAAGACTTTGGGGGCACACAGAACACTTAGGAGGCGGAGGCCAGCCTATGCTAAATATAAATTTCAGGCAAGTCAAGGATACATACAAACTGTTTCCAAACCAAAACCCAATAAGAAGAAAGACACTGTTGGAAACTATGTAAGGGAACTAGAAGACTTAACACACTGGAATAGCTAATTTAGACCCTTGTCCTAGGAATGACATGAGAGCAGCTGAGAAAGACGGCTGGAACTAGATAATAGTAGCAATGTGTCAGTGTTCTTGACCAGTTGGTTATATAGGAAAATATCCTGGTTTACAGAAAACCTACATGAATGTGTATCTGGGGTGATGAGGAGTGAGGTGACCACTTCTCAGGAAAAGTTTTTTGTAACTTTACATATGATCAAGATATTTCAAAATAAAATTTTATTTGAAAAAGGCTTTATCAGTCCCCTTTTCTTTCTTTTTCTTAATGAAGAGGTAGGTAGTTTTTCCACAAAGTTGGTCAGATGGGAAACATCATCTCCTCCAGTTGGGTCTCAATAATTTGAAAATAAAATGCTTACAATGAAGTCATCTGTGTCAGGCTGAGAACAGACCCTTAGAGTAAGGGTGGTTCTTGGTGAGTTGCATGACTGGAGACCTCTATGCCAGGTACTGCAAACGTCACTGACTGAGGGACCTCTGCAGAGCTTCATACATCATTTGATCCTGTGAGGACAGAAAACACCACATAGTGCTGACCAATCAGTTATGGGGTAAGACGTGTGACCAGCAAACTTCTATATTGAAGCCCTAGCCCCTAAGACCTCAGCGTGTGGTTGCCCCCGCAGACAGGGTTTCTGCAGAGGTGGTTATTGTACAAGAGGAAGTTTGCACACAGAATGCACAACGAAGGACATGTGAAGACAGGACGAAGACGACACCTGCGGGACAGAAACCTCAGAACTCTGACAAGACAGCACCTTGATCTCAGACGTCTACTTGAGACCAGGGAGACAACACAATCTCTACTGTTTACGATTCTCATCTACGGCACTGGTTACAGAAGCCCCAGCGGTGGACCCAGTGATTCTGCCTTGCCCCTGCATCCTGAGTCTCCACATGCTCCCTTCTAAGATGCGCCACAACCTCCATCATTGTCCAGGAAGTTTGCAAACCAGGCCAGGAGACACTGACCTGTAAGCTACCCTGAGTCCGGAGGGAAACAGGAGACAAGAGTAAACGCTTCTAAAGTGTGTTAACACTCCAAGAAACTGCCAGAATGGCTCCCAATGTGACTGTTCCAGCTTCCAGTACAAAATATGAGACATCTAGCATCTCACATCCTCAACTCCCTGTCAGTCCAGTAGGTATGCAGTAGGTCACTGTCGCCACATTGACCTCCTCCAGAGTTAGATGGCAATGCTACTCCTACCTATTTATCCCAAGGGAAAACTTACAATGTGTTCTATTTACTTCCAGCTATTTAGAATATATCCTGGGGCCAGCAAGACGGTTCAGAAGATGAAAGCGCTTACTGCCAGACCAACAACCCGAGTTCAATCCTACAGTCCACATGAGAGGAAGATACAATTCCTAAGCTTTTTATTTAATAATAAACTTGAGAGATGTTTTGTTCAAGTAGCTATACCATTTCACAATACGACAGTTAAGGTTTTGGCCTGCTATTATATGTGCCCATCAAAGAGTTTTGTGGCACATGTCTGTAATTCTGCCACTTGGAAGGCTGAAGTAGGAGGCTCATGAGTTTGAGGCTAACTTAGGATATAAAAAGAGACCACTGCTCAATAAAAAATAAATTAATAAAATTTCTAAGTTCCTATTCACAGATGTAATTTCCGTCCTCTTTTCAAGACACTGAGGAAAGTTTCTCACCTTTACAGATATAGATGGCTTTACTTTCCTGAAAGCTTCTTCAAAATGCTTATGGCTGACCTTGAGCTCACCTGTGGAGGAAGGCACAATTACACACCTCAGTATAGCCCATTAACTTGAAAGACTGAGCTGGGTGATCCGGTAGAACCTATTCAAGCACATTTACATATGCCCCTCCCCAGCCCTGCCTCAATGAGAATCTCTCCATTCCTCTGGGGAAACAGGACTGCTGGGAATCACTCTGTCTCTTAGGGACACTGGGATGGAAGAAAAACAGCTGTGAAGGCTGCTCACACTGTCAAAAATGGCCAGTGTGGTCTCAGGTAGAATCGATAAGAGATTTTAAGTAGAGATGGCCAATAGAACTAGAAATAACCAGCAACCTGTATTATTACCCTAGGGTATATTCTTGAACACAAAATCACACTACTGAGAAACAAAGGCTAGATGTTCTCTAAGATAAAAATACTAAGGGTAGACATGTACATCACAAAACTGGATTAGAAAGGGTTGTAATTTTTATAAGGTTAAGTGATAAAATAGCTAAATGTTAAAATATAACTTGGTTTACAATGTTAACAAGACAACTTAAGTGATAACAATTTACACTCAAAATAGTAAATAGATATTAGGATAACCGAGTTACCTAAAACAAAGTACTACATGATCAGTTAGATAGCAGGGTTAGATATGGTTTGGGCAAGGGTACAAAGTCTCTAAAGGCCAGGGAGCTAAAAATGAAAGCCACAGCAAAGCAGATATGGCAGAATTCGTTATATGTGCATATAAGCAACAACCAGAAAATTGAGTAGCAACTCCAATACATGAGAAAAGACCTGCTAACTTGTAGTCACCAATATGCCCTAAGAAAGTGGTAAGATTCAGCTTACAAAGTAGCATACATGATTTTGGAATTGGTGGCGTGGGAGGTGGGAGCAAGGAAGATATAACAGATATCATGTGACCCATGAACTTAAGACCCTTCTGCTTTGGCTTCTTTAACATTAAGATTACAGGTACACAACCAAACGAAGCTCTGATTTTTTCCATAAAATATTCTAAGTTTGCCTATCATCAATAATTTCCAAAAGGAACAGAATGTAGTTTCTAAAAAAAAGAAGTTTCGATAACTGAATCTTAACATTATCTAGTAAACAAAAATCAAAAACACCCCCAAAAATACCCTAATAAATATATGCAAGTGTGTCAATAAATCTATGTATGCTAAGCCTACGTTGCTGTAACAATATTTAGCTTTAAGATTCATGCAAGTGGAGCAGGAGAGGTGGCTCAGGATTAAGAGTGCACACTGCTCTTACAGAAGACCTGAATTCAGTTCCCAGTACCCATGTCAGGGGACTCACAACCACCTATAACTCCAGTCCCAGGGGATCTTAATGCCCCTGTGATCTCTGAGGGTACCTACATTCATGAGTACATTTTTCCCAAACCTGACCACCACAGACACAAACACACACGTTTAAAAGGAGACTTTTAAATTCAAGTACACACTTGAAGTTCCCATGAGAACACATCTGTACACTACAAAGCACTCAGAGACACCCAGACAGAGTAAGGGCTACTTCTGTACTAGGCATTGCTGGAATACAGGTCACAAATCAATCTTTTTAGGCCACACATACCCAAATAGTAACACCTAAAATACTATTAAAATGTGAAGTAAACAACAAATGTGTTGAAAAGGGACCATATCATCCATAAGAGAATACATGGATTTTGTCTTTGGACTTCCTGGCTTTTGTGGTGCTAGGAAAAGAATCCTGAGCATTGCACATGCTAAGAAAATTTCTGTCACTGAGTGATAAAAGTTGTCATCTGATTTTATACTTCAAAGGAAAATCTTGATATATGAAAAATTAGGTATTTCTTAATCTTTACAATTTCGGTTGAATTTTAACAGGCAAGTGGGTTGTATTTTAGTAAAAGAATTAAGATTTTCCAAATTGTTAAGAAGCACACTCATGATAATGGCAGTGAACAAACACATTTGCCTCTATCTAATCACTTGTGTATACTGACAGAATACAATCTGCTTATTAAGAGGGACTAAATAACGACTATCACATCGAGTGTACATAATATTCCACTGCAGTTTCTAAAGGTCTCATCCAACAGGCATCTTTATTACATACTGTTTTACAAAATGCTAGAAAAACAACACCTGAAAGGCAGCAGGGCTGTTAAATATCCAGACTGATACAATGGAGAGACCCCAAAGAGCCTCATACCTGTTCCAATCGCACTCCTCTGTCCGGTCATCTCTTGTCTCAGGGCACAGAGAGAAGCTTCTCGTACCAAAGCAGAGAGGTCTGCACCCCTGTAATAAAAGACATGTTCTTAGGCATTCTTAGGTATTCTAAAAGATGCTCAATTATAATATACTTAACAATGAGGAAAAAGCAATGAATGAAGGTGGGACAAACTGACTAGGAACAGCAGGAAAAAGCTTTTAGCTTTCATTTAGAGAACTTTTAACCTTTAAAAGAAAGGAATTTGTAGAAAGTATGATACAATGAAAAATAAAACTTAGCCATAGATATTAATGTTGATATAAAACATCTACCCAGTGGCTACGGTACAATGACCTGAATTCAATTCATGGAAACTACATTAAAAAAAAAAAAAAAAAAAAAAGGAAAAGAAGAAGAAAGAAGAAGGAAAGGAAAAAGAAACCCAGTCAAAGGCAGACTGGCAGATCACTGGTGTTCACTGATGAGCTCAGTCAGCTCAGTCTAATAGGCATAGGCTCCCAACAAGGCCGAGCGGTGGTGGCGCACGCCTGTAATCCCAACACTTGGGAGGCAGAGGCAGGCGGATCTCTGTGAGTTCGAGACCAGCCTGGTCTACAAGAGCTAGTTCCAGGACAGGCTCCAAAACCACAGAGAAACCCTGTCTCGAAAAACCAAAATAAATAAATAAACAAACAAACAAATAAATAAAACAAAACAACAACAAAACCAAAACCCACCCTGTCTCAAATAACAAGGAGGCTGAGGAACAACACCCAAGCACCTAAGGTTCTCTGACCCCCACAGGCACTTGTACACCTGGATGAATGTGTACACCCCCCAACACACAAAGTTTCTTTATATCATTATTCCAAGTAATAATCACAGGTTGGGTCAGCAGAGTCCTAAGAAGGCAATGAAACATCAGTGTTGCCTGGAGCTTTCCTACACTCAGCTTTAACATGATCCACAAAAATTCTTTCTAACAAAACATCATTTCCAGGTATCAAGTAATCAAGTGTCTATGTTACCATTCACGACTTGATGTGGGAGTGATTTCTTATTAATAAAGAAACTGCCTAGGCCCCTTGATAGGCCCACCCTTAGGTGGGTGAAGAAAACAGAAGAGAATTCTGGGAGAAAGAAGCTTAGTGAGTGAGTCGCCATGATTCTCCCGCTCCAGACAGACGCAGGTTAAGATCCTCCCTGGTAAGCCAGCTCATGGGCTACATAGAATATTAGAAATGGGTTAGAACAATATATAAGAGCTAGCCAATAAGAAGTTGGACCTAGCCGGGCCAGGCAGTGTTTGAAAGAATACAGTTTCCGTGTAATTATTTCGGGGCATAAGCTAGCCATGTGGGCGGCCGGGTGCCGGGGACGCAGCCCTGCCGCCGCTCCTGCTCCTATTTCAACAACGACTAGCTCTTGGAAGTTAGTTTACACTGCTGATCAACAGCGCTGAAGCCCTCAACGACGGAAACACTGACTCACCTTACTTTTTGTGGGAAGTCCAGTATTATCTGACCCTTGCTCTAGGGGCAAATACTAAGTACCAAAGATGTTAGGGACAAACAACAGGGCTTTAATATGATAGAAATATCAGGTGTCATGCTGTTGTTGCAGGCTCAATGTGCACATGTATGCAGATTAACCTCCACTGTGCAGATGTACTTAAAGAACATGCTATCTAGTGAAAGGCATATGCTTTACATATTCTGAAAGCAGAACTAACAGTGAAGGGTAACAATGTGGCCAGGGACGCTTGAGTACCAACAGGAACAATCTATGTCAGGAATTTAGCATCCAAACGCACAGGTAAGCTGTCTTCTGAGAAGGAAGCAGCAAGAATCAGACAGACACTACATAAGGTGCTACACAGGAAACCTCATTAGTTTTTCCAACCTAAGAAATGGGCATCTTTTTCTTTCCTGTTGATGAAGAAACTATACTCCAGAGGAGTATAAGAGACCAGAGACTTAAATACTCACGTATAGCAATTGCAACGAAGGTCATTGGCAATTGCTTCCAAATTTACATCTTCATCCAGTGGAGGTTTGGTGCCATTCTGAATAAGAGAGAAAAGTGAGCTGTTTAAGGCATTAAAGATTCATGCATGCACATCACTCACTGGTTTTTAAAGAAGAAAGGCTGATGACTAAGGGAGTAGAACCAACTCCACAATCAATGTAGAGTGCACTGAGTTCAATCTGGAAAATTAGGGTAAGAGGCAGGCTGACGTGCAAGAAGCTGTAAAGGCAAACCACTGATACTCATGGAGTTGGAGGAATTGTGTTATAGGACTGACTGCAAGGAGAGTAATACTGAACCCAACTTGTTGAGATCAAAAGGAGCTTGCTCTACACAGGACCCTCAAGAAGTTGTACTTATTTATTTGTTTGTTTGTATTTTCTTCTGTATATTCATGTAGAGGTCAGAAATTAGTATGTCTTTTTAAACAACAACAACGAAAAAAAAAACATGTTGCTTTTTAATCCCTCATCTAAAACCCAACCTTGACACTGGAGCCAATTCCTCTCAGTTCATAATTACAGATGCTAAAAATGACAAGAATCAGAAAAGTTCAGAATTTCAACACGGAACATAAGCACTATACACACAAATCACCCTTAGTAATATTCTAAGTATATTACATGGCAGAATCAAACACTACATAGTTTTAAAAAATACTTTTGTAGAGGCTAAAGAGAGGGTTTAGTGGTTAATAGCCCTGGCTGCTCTTCCAAGAGAAGCTCGGTCTGATTTCTAGTACCCACACATGGTTGTTGCAGGAGGTCCTTCCGCTCCTCCAACCAATAGCTGCTGAGATACCAGCCCATTGGGGCGTGGTCTCTCTCTTTAAAAAAAAGCGGCTACTTCCCTCCGCTCTCTCTCTCTTCACCTGCTCCGCTGGCGACTAGACTACCTTCCTGGTTTTGCAGAGGGCTGTTGTCTGGGACGGTGATCTGTAAGTTTTTTCCTCTGCTGAACTAAATCAACCAATTTATTTCAAAGATGTGCTGACCTCTCAATGGAAGCCAGGAGATGTGCTACGTTGGGGAAGGGGTTTTGCTCGTTTCCACAGGAGAAGAAAAATTGTGGATACCATCAAAATTAATAAAGTTTCGATTTGAAGAGGAGAAACCTCTTGGAAAGGAGAAATGACAACTCATCCACAATGATGATATTCATACAGGTGGTAAGAAAAACATATAGAATGG